AGTATTGCTTAATTGCTGAATTTGTGCCTATCTACCGACACGTTGTGGATGGAAGACGAAAACGGAATCTTATGTTTCTCAAACTGATGTTTGAATTGGTACTATTTAAAATATCTGGGTAAGTAAGTAGTTTAACAAAAAGTTATAATATTTTTTAACAAAAAATTAAGAATGCTTAAATAATCCACCAGCCCTAGATACCCAGGTACAGGTGGAACTCGAACCCACGACCTTTTTGCAATCCGGGCGACTGCCCACCCCATCCACCCACTTTCACCTTAGGGTATCTCTTTTTTGATAATGTAGGGGAAAATGCACGAAGACGAAGCGAAGCTGGCTTACCTGGTAAAACCCGCTGCAAATACCCTTTTGGGGGAAGGACCCGGGATCCAGACCCACTTCAGAGCCCCCTACGCCCGCCACTACCTCTTGCGGGCTGGGAGAAGACCAGGTTACCTGACCGCCTTTTCCCCAGACAGTGGACGGTTCCTGGGACTACATTAGTGATTTCAAGTAGAAATTAATACATATTTATACCTAACTAAATGTGAAATTGAACCCTTTTAAACCCCTTTTAAAAAATATTTCTATTAAAATATTCTATTACTAAGACTTCGCTGTCTGTCTATCACCAGGCTTTATCTCATGAACCGCGATAATTAGACAGCTGAGATTTTCACATATGATGCGTTTCTGTTGCCGCTATAACAAAAAAATACCATAGAACAAAATAATTATATAAGGGTGCTCCCATACAATAAATTGTGATTTTTTTTTGCTCCGACTCACACTTGACCGGTTTTATTTTGTTCATGTAGTTAATTTATACACATACAAGTATGACACCAATAGAGATGTCTTTCATAAACGACATTTATTATTTTGGCCAAGACAAAATGAGGAATGATATATATACGTACAGTAAAATACAAGGCTAAAATAACAATTTGGTAACAATCCAAATGTCATATTAATGTCCCGAGCCCTAAACATGCCAAGCGTATAACTGTACTTGGCAAAATCCTGTCGAGATTTCTAAAAATTAATTACTGTCGAGTAGATACAAACTTTGAGAGCGTAGGCAAATAAATTCTTGCTAGATCCTAACTATAAGTACTAAGTAATATAATCGAAATATTTTACAATATTGCGGTACTAGCCCCGATTTATATTTGCTAATTGTTATTTTGAACAAGTATATGATTTGTTTCAACGAAATTATAATTTGACATACTTATCAATATTTTTTCAAAAGTACTTATCAATATTTTTTCAAATGTACAGTGAACAGCACTCTTGATTTAAAACCTTAATGTTTTGTGTTTAGTTTAAAACCAACTGAAGATATTTGACATATTGTGATAATCTGACATGCAGCCGTGTGTACAAATGAACATATATTATTGTAACCATATATGGCAAGCGAACATCACACTAGCCTAACCTAACCAGCAATTTTACCAATAGGGATGTAGACAACTTTTTTATATTTTTATTTTACAGATTTACATGAAATATATCTAAAACAAATATTTATTTATTCATTTATTCAATTAAAATATATAAATAAATTTAATTTTCAGAATTTCCACCGAATACGCCACTTCTGTCATGGCGTCGCTATGACGTCACGCACGGCAGTCTGAAACGAAAACCGCTCCATGTATGAATAAGGTCGAATTCTCTAAGTTCCGATATGAGTAAAAAGGGCATGACGTCATGCACTGTTTGCGGTCACGTGACAACGAGCATAGTATATTGGTTTTCTCATAATTAGTTTAGGAAATATTATAAATATAATAAAGCATAATAGTGTAATTATAAATTAAATACTACCAGAAAAAATATAATATGTACTTATTTTCATTAACTGTCTACACTCGAATTGCATCAAATTAATGAATGATATTGGTACTGCTTGCTAACAATTAATAATTTTAGACGTATATTTAATATTATCTTTGTGTTCAAAATAATATAACTTGCCCTTTACAATATATTCACGTATCGAGATTACGATTACCGAGTATCTGGTGGAATATAATTATTAGTTGGCAATAAAACATTTTTGAAGGTGACAGCTCTATGTTGACTTGTTGCCGCAGAAGTCATGTCACATCCTTACTTTCTTTGGTCAATGTTATAGAAAATTTTCTAAACTAGCATTTAAGTATACTGTAATATACGTCATAGGTTTAAAATAGATAGACAATTAAATTAGTTTTAAAATAACATGTTTTTCGAAGGGATGACAGATATAAACATACTTCGCATTAACGTACAACACATGTCTGCTAGTCAGAAATTATCCTAATTACAAATTCGAGTAGGTGAAGTAATTAGCCGAAGCATTGAACTTGCCACATGAACCTCTGCCAAGAGTCATCGAGGAATATCAGGTGGAAGTTGTCAGGAAAAATAAATTCGCAAACAACTGCTCTTCAATTTTGTACCTTAGACCCCTTGTATCAAAATCGCCCGCGGCAAAATCGCCCGCGGCTAATCGATGGTATGCGTAGAAAATTCTGGCAATATACCAAAGATAACACTTCTACCCTTGGTGTCAGGTGGACGAACAATAGTACTAATGTATTGTTAAATATTTTCGACTGTCTTTACTGTTAAACTTTACCGGAATATGTCAATCTCTAGTTTCTTTAAATCAATGTGAATTTTTTTATTTTTTGTAAAACACAAACTTAAAACAAAAATCTCGAAATATTGGGAAGCAACTCTCATGGCCTCAATCTCTATCACCCAATCGCACAATTATGTAAACAATGGACTGACAAAGCAGTGTAAGTGCGGAACTATATACCTTTTTTTTCAAAAGATCCTCACTAGGGAAGGAGGCATACCTAACCTCATCCCATTGCACAAAGCTCCATTAAAATTGATGTAAAATCTCTCAAGAAATTATTATTAATTCTCTAAATGATAACAATATTTTAAACAAGAGTTTCAAAATGAATATAACTTTAATGAAGTATATTGTCAATTTTAATTTATACAAGCTAGTTCTACAGACACTTTTATTAGCCAGTTAATGTGTGAGTACCCACAGCAGGTGTAATTCATCAGATGATTTAATTATGAATGAACATCGTTCCTGTCCTGTCGAGAGTAGCATGTGATCACTATTATTGGCGAGGATTACATCACACCGGGAAGCACCCGCGCATTGTGAAATAATACTCAGTACAATTAGGGCTGCCAACCGATACTAACATAAAGAAATTAACAGAACAATCTTCTAAAAAATTTAAATATAGTATAGTTAATTAATAGTAATTTAGCTACTTTACAGAAATTAAGCTACTTTCCACCATACTCAGAGATGTCATTTGACTTTAGTGGTTGTGTAACTTAACATTATTCAAGAATAATTAGCACTGAGTAATTAAAACTGAAGATTGTTCTTTTTTAGAAAATTCTTGAATAAATTTAAACTTATAAACGAGTTTTCCCAATTAAAAGATGTTAATCAAACGTTCCTAGGGCATGCAACAAACGGACTACGACATAGGTTATTATGTAAATGTTAATAAAAAACGATATGTATCGCTATCCATAGAGTTCTGTATCGTTCCTGCTTAGTACTTCCTATTGCTGTAGTGTGTGGAATCAAAGAACTATAACGTACCGTACTATGACACTGCGAACGATAGTTGCATAGTTGCATTCATGGGCTTGAACTTGAAATACATTAATAAGAATTAATATATAATTACGTAAGGTTATATAATTAAATACAAAAACGCAGTAGTATATCTGTCATTAAACATATTTTCGTCTGCTCTAGGTGCAAACACAAAATATATTTTTCTGATGCCACGCGCCAGGGCAGCCCTAACATTACCGCTCACTCCTCCCTGCCGCCGCTATCCCCCGCCCGCCTTATTTCCGTAATGTGCGCTCAATGTCACGGGGCCAATAACACTTTCAATGAAAATGCGCTATTGTAGCATTTAGCTCTGTACTTTTGCAATTAAGCCATAACGAAAATAATATATACCTACCTAATAAATATAATAAAAATAGGATTTGATAAAAAGGATTTATTTTAAAGAATCTAACCAAAGTAATTACATCGTTTCCACCAAATTATGCATTATGACGAGAATGTAGTCAGTTATTTAACTGTTAAAGAAAATGTAAAATAATTTTCCCAAGAAAAATGGATACTATTCATTTCATTAGAAGGGTGCTTTCTAAAATGTTATCTATGTCCGACAATTTGAAATAAAATATAATGTAATATCAATATTAATTTATTTTGGTCCCACTTAATACATAAAACTTATATTAATTACAATAAACGTTTAAATTATAATAAATTAATTATCACATTTCTTAATAAATAGATATGTCAAGTTAAAAGTATCTTCTCATACTTATAATTATATTTTTTTTTCATTTTCTTCGATAGATGTGTACTTATTACTATTATTTAAAAAACCTCAAACACGTTTGAGCTTACATAATTTAGTTTGTATACCACCAATATTAAAGTGCATTTTTCTTCGACACTGTTTTACTACCATTCATATTTTCCACACGTCTGAGACCATTCCTCTAACAGTTTACGTTCGATCTACACGATAATATTTACAGAAATCAACCGCACATCTCTCGCAAGTATTTACTAATCATAGGCGTGTTTCTAGGCTATACACGTTTACACGGCCTTTACAATTTTTCATACCATCCATCGCTCTTACAAAAGGTACTATCGAAGAATTTAATGCTCTTGCCTTGCAAACAAAATTATTTAAACAGAAGTATTCTGAAAGCTGAGGAAATTGATAAATCACTTAAGGTGATTGGCCAACCGTCGAAGACGATGAACAAACGAGTGTTTAGAAACGAAATCTCTCTAGAACAAGAACAAGAACGGAAGTATGCAGTTAAAACTATACACAAGATGCACCACGTGCGAATATTCGCCAAGTCCTTATTCAGTGAACACTATTTATTTTCGTCAATTCTCATCTCTGTTCTAAAAGAACTCGTTCAAATATTATTATAATATGTCTCTATATAAATAATACAAGCGGAATACATGTATTGTAAGTTTCTTGAACGAGAAAAACACTTAGTTGTTTCCTCAAGATGGCGGACTGCTAAATTCCTCGATTGTACATAAACCAGACACATTCATTCAGCTATTTTCTATAGGTCCATACCGCTGCCTGAACCAGGTCATGCCACTGTAGTCCGGTTCGTAAACGTCTGGGATTTCTTTATCTATAGCCTCACAGTAGACCATCTTGACAGAAGCTTCGCTGAACAGTCGCTCTTCGTATTTGATCAACTGTTTGAAAAAACCCGTGTTTGGTCGTATCTGGGGTCTAAAACAATGACAGTAAAATATATTAATATTGATACTGAAACTCTACGAATTCATTTTTGATAAACCCTACTTTTTCTTTCTTATCTCCTTCTTAAAGGAATTAATATTGCTTTATTCAAAAATAAAGTAAAACCAAATAAAATATAAAATACTTCATAGCAAACACTTACCGTCTTTGTTTAATATGATGGTAGGCATCACACAACGTCATTCTCTGCCATTTCACCAGGTATGCCAAACAGAGGGTTACAGATCTCGATACACCCGCCACACAATGTACTAGTACCACCTCCCCTTTGTTTACCACCTGTTGAGAGACAAACAACATGATAATCAAATTATTTCTCTGAAATGTTCAAGATAATAGAATGTAGAGTATATATTTTCATGAAATAGAGACTAATAGACCTAATCTGATGGTAAAAATTTACATGAGTTTTCAATTTGTTTGTTTTTTAGTGGAACAAAATAGTGAGAACCAGCTTCATACATACTTCTTCGATGCAGGTTTTTGATTTTATCAAAGATGGAATTAAATTATTCATACAAAACTTTTAAAATTAAGTGATTTTCTATAAATCAATAATATACACCGCAATACAACTCTTATAAACTTTTCACAATAATATTATACTCTGATATTATTTAGAAGTTCTTTATTACTTTACTAGATATATAAAAACTTACCTCATTGATCAGGTCAGCAACACATTCCATATAAGGGTACATATCAGAGCTGGGTGTATCCAAGAGAGGCACAAAGTATCTTGGCACATAGTCCTCTGGTGGCGGCGGTAGCTCAGGTGCTGCATTCACCACTAGTCCTGGCTGCAAGGCTTTCACAGCTCCAGGCAAAGCATGAGCACCGCATACGTACAAAGAGTTTGTAACACGCGACACTCCAAGAGGACATCCTCTGAAAATAATATGTCTTATTGATATTTGAGCCATATGTAGAATACTTATAAATTATATTGAAATATTTGTGTGATTCAGTAAAATAAACCGATTTACTCGTATTATAAAGATTCCAGTAACCCCAATATTTAATGAATAGATAAATTTATTCACTGAATTAACGGCTATAAATTAACCTGAAGTAATTACAAAAAATTAATGGATGGGTTTCTTACTATGTAGATTCTAATGATATTCAGAAATAACATGAACGTATGAAAGTATTTTATGACGCAACAGAATATTTTCTTGGCATTTAGAAAGATGGAAGTGAAGAAATTTTTCTGGAAGGCGCCTGTCGCCTGTCATTATGTTAAGAAAATAAGAGAAAACACGATTACAGCAATCGCATTCTTGAGTACGACAACAAGCGTCGGGTGTAAACACCGCGTGCCAGTGCTCTGTGTCATGCTGGCAACACTCCAACTGATCTGACCTTCCAAACTTGCAATTATATCGAAAGTATTTGATCAGATTTGGTCAATTGCAACATATAAAATTAATAGGTGCTTTTTGTTTTTGCAAGAATTCCAAGTATTAATTTTTTTTTCTGGAATGGTTTTATAATTATTTCGCTCTTATTTTAATTATTAAAAGCTTGTTTATTTTCACTAAAATACGTTGGCTTTTAAATCAAATCTAAAAGGCGCATTTTCTTCATATCAACAAATATAAATCCAAAAGTCTCGTCTATTACAACTACTTAGCTAAACACTACATCATGAAGATGTTATATTACCTGTTCAGTTCCTCCTTGGTGAGCTTAGGCGAAACAACCTCAACTGTAGGTTCATTTTCAATCCCAACACTTGTCACTTTATCTTCAACAGTCAATACCTTCATTTTTAAACACTTTAATTTGCTATTATAAAATTTACCACCTCACAGAATGTCCACCGTAAAGTCTTGGATGACTTCAAATCAAAATGTTTTCGTGTTAAATATCGATAGTTTAGAAGATATTCGAGTTCTCACAAATACGTGCGCTCTACTAGCGTGTCGGACACGCACTGAAGCTCGATTGTGCGCACCTGCGCTTGCGACGCGTACCCTGTGACGGGACAGGATTGCAGTATCCGGCATTCCACAGTTATTTTCAGATAGTGGTGACTGTTATTTTGTTTACAATTCTAACGTTGCTATTTTTGGGCAGAAATATGGACGACGCAGGTTGCCAGAATACCCCAGCACTGTGAATCTTTTAACCGTAAACAGTAGGACCTGAAAGAAGATGTGATCCTACTCGATGATGGAGACAATTGGTGAAGGAGTCTAAAAAGTAATTGGTTTCCTTCGAGCTAGATGTTGTTAGCCCGTGGACCATGGTTTTATTGTGGTGGTGAATTGTTTGCCGCTGCGGTACGTAATTACAAGGCTTTATATAAAATATCTTTCTACTGTTAAGCTGTTAAGTTGTTATGCTTTTTTCTTGTCAGTCAAAGAATGTTCTAAATTTGAAGCACTTTTGATTCATCCAACATTTTTGTACATCATCATCATCACCAGCCCTTTTTACGTCCCCACTGCAGGGGTTCAGGCCTTCCCTATGGATGGTTAAGGAGGATGGGCCATGACCCTCCACGCTGGCCCAGTACGGATTAGAGGGTATTAACGACTGCAAATGCAGACGGGACCAACGGCTTAACGTGCCTTCCGAAGCACGGAGTAGCTCAAGATAATAATTTTTTGGTCACCCATCCCGTGACCGACCCTAGCGAAAGTTGCTTAACGACTACGATCACGGGCCGCGGGGCTTATCCACTACGCCACCAAGCTACTCATACCACTACTACTTACTACTTTTTGTACATACCACTACAAAAATGTACGAATCAAAAGTGCTTCCAATAATCTTATTTGAATTAGGATTATGTTGATCATGTTCAAAGTTTGCGTCTGTACTAAAACTTAGCCAACCTTTGACTATTTCTACTTCTCAAGGCGGATTAGTAGATAAAGCCTACTCTGTTTTTCCGTAAACAAAAGAACGTCTATTATCGAAACGCTAATATGATTCCAAAAAGAAACGCATTTTCCGATAATTTATGATGCAACCGAGGTTGGATCTAACACATAACTCTGATGCACAGATAAATCTTCACGACTATAGTTTAAACAAAATTATAAAAACAATTCGAAATTTCATTCGTGGACAAGCAGCGGGCCCTTTGGTTTGCTCTGAAACTTCTTCCATCTAAAATTGAAAAGCGTTAAGTACCCTAAGGACTGTGTGCTTAATTATTTATTGAAACCAAAGAAAGATCAAGATTTGTATAAGGCTTTTGTAGTGTTGGAGAAGGATGAAACAGATTAGCAGGACCGAAATAAAAACGGTTGAATAAGTACTGGGAATCATTCATGAAAGGAAACGGCTACTAAGGCTACCGCGTAACGTTCAATACATCGAGTTGAACCAACTGCAATGCAATTTAACGTTGAGTGCATTTGATTTACTTCAATATCCAATTTCGCGACGTGGTAGTCCTGCTGGAAACCATAAAAAACAAACCAGGTAGAATGTGTGGATACTTTATTCCACACGATGACTTATTTAAAACGAGACTATAAGCAAAAATAATCTAATGACAAAACTATAATTGTGATACTATCTAGAATCATTTAAGAGACGTAAGGAAAGTTACGAGAATCGCGATAAGCAAAAGGTCAATTTATTGATTTATTTATTTATCAGGCGCTCACAACAATGAGTACACTAAAACTACTCTTAAAATTACATTATGAGAAGGTTATATACTAAGTGTCCCATTACTTATAGGAGGGCAGCGCTTGCATACAGCAGCCATAGCAGTACGCTTACAGCAAAGTATCCCTGCCTGGGGCGCGACCGCCTAACTCATGGACGTAGTCCGTAGTCGTAGCTATAACCTGCGCGTACCAAATGCGTAGGCCGATTTTGATGATTCTTACGTCAATCGATTCGTCTTAACTTAACCTTGCGAGTGTCACTAAAGACATGACAGTAATCAAAATTCACCACAGCGACAACCAGACGCCATATTGTCAAAATGAAAAGAATAAAAATCGATGAACTATGTCAAGTGGGGTGTCGTTGTATAGATATTTTAAAATCATCTTTAGGTTCCTTTTATCATTTTTCATTTTAACTAATAGTTTAGGATATATAACGATTTAAAGTTGTTTAACAAAACATTCACGCAAATTGTCTTACTTATTGATTTAAGTTTTTATTTAAAGTATAAACGATATACAAACAAAAAAAAACAGTGAAAAAGCATGAAGAACAAATATTTTTGGTAAAAAAATAAAGCATATGTAGCTTTGAGCCGAGTTAGGTCTCTAGAGGGTCTAATCATCAGTAGTTTAGACCACCGCAACTTACTTAATAATCCCCACGATATTAACTCCCTCAATGAAATAACTAGATTGCGAAATTTACCATCTTATAACAAAGTCAACGAATCGTAACTAAAAAGCATAAAATAAAAATAAGTAATTTAAAGAAAAACAAAAAACCCGACTGGAAGATTTGATGGGTAAAATTTGAATGGGCCCCGACTGTGAGTCGTTCTGTTCTGTATGACTTAACAGAATTCTAAACTACTGAGCTTGTTTCTTTCTTTTTAATTTTTATTTAAGTTAATTTTTTCATGTATTTTCTTTAAAATCATTAATTAGTTTTTCTATCAATTTAAAAACAATATATACTTGACGGAAACTTGCAGAAGAAACGACTTCAAAAGAAATAATAATTCTTATTCTTATAAATTCAATATACTTCTGGCTAAGTTTTTACGCATCTGACGTCAAATGTAGTTTGATTTTGTCATAATAGGAATTATTCTACGAATTTCAAAGCTGTTTATTTTTGAAAATAAACATTTTTATTTTAGAGTTCCTATGTAACAACAACAACGTCAAGATAAAATAGGCGATGTAGTTCACCCAGATTTTTTTTTACATTAAAACAAAACTAATCAGTCAGTTTTAATAAAATTATTTCGAGAATATGCTCTTCAAAGTGCATAATGGATACCTACAGAAACAGTCAAATTGAATACCCATTTTTATTTTTCTAAGTTGGTTAAAAATAAACGAAAAAATATACTAATACCACGCAGACGAAGTTGCGGGCAAAAGCTAGTATATAAATAAATAAGAAACAGCTAGATTGATAGAAATTGGTTCACAATTCAAGAAATCGATTAACAAAAGTAGGTACGTTAAAAAAACATACTCGTTGAAAATAGAAAACCCTCCTTTCTTTTGATTTTAGCTGAAATAAACATGTCATCTAAATATTTAGGTGATATTTGATGAAAAGCGTATTTTCTTTATTTTAAAGGCAGACTATAGATTCGATTTCGATAAAATTTATTATTTAAATCATCGCCGTCGAAAATATAAGCTTTTCTTTTTCGATTTTAAAGTCTGTTAAAAACACGTATTAATGGTTTTTTCTGCATTGCAATGCCCATAACTTTTAGGTCTTATTAGGCGACAGACCTTAATATTCGTATATTTAGGATGATAGAAAATATTCCATGCAATGGTCACGCACGCTGTTGGGTGGTTATTAAAGAACGGAAAGCCGATTTCTCACACACAACAGCTGTTTTAGAGTTTACCTATTTTCGAAAATTATGAATAGTTTATATGTATTATACTTATGTACAAAAGACATCAGTATAATTATCTTTGGTAGTAATTCATCTATATTTTAGCTATTAGTCTGAAAACATAATTCTAAAAAACAAATTTCTATAATACAACTACTTTTTGGAATCTGAATAATGTATGTAGTGTTGTCTAATATTTTTTCCTATCTCCTAAAATGTATATACTTTTAGAAATTATTCCCTTACGTCGCAAGACTACCTCTGGGGACACCAATTCACACATACGTACCTTTCAACTCGTTCGATCCAGTAGTTTCGGAGAAAAACAAAACTAACGAAGGGACAGACAACAGAGTAGTTACGTTTATCCCAACACTAAAACAACAATAAAGTAACACCACATTTTATTGACGGTGGACCGTTGGATAGAAATTTTAATGTGATCTTTATTAGATTTTCCTAGTAAGATATAAAAGAACATCATAAATAAAAAAAACCTCCTTAATTCATACCTTATTAGGGCGGCAAAAACAAGGAATATAAAATAAAAAACATTTCGAGGACTTATTAAGGTATTCAAATATAAAAGAGTTACATACTTCATAGACAAATTTATTCGGGATTTTTTTGAACTAGTATATTACAACAATTTATACAGTCTAAACAAGAAGAAAACGGCTGAATATCCACCGGTTCTCTCAGATAATAGTCCTTTGGTGCGTATTGTCCACGCTTGAATATCTGATCCTCAATAACAGACCAGAAATAGAGATAATTGCACGCTCTAGATAACAACTCTCCGGATGCAAGTACGGCATTTACAGCTCTTTGGCACACAGGATCCAGCTCTGACGGCATATTGAACGATAGATTCTGGATATTACAGCGGAACACCTGTAAGTAAATCAATAAATAAAAAAGTGAACTTGATACAATCTGACCAACTCTCTACAAAGCAAAAGAATTTAAATAATAACTCCTTTAAAGCTAAGTCGAAAATATCCAAGAGACGCGCATAAGAAAAAATCAGCCAATCACTTATTGTCATCATGCAAAACCATAGCGAAACAAAATTCAATCACTCAGAGGGTTAATGAAAATGGGCAATGGAGAGAGCTATGTTTGGAATCTCTCTGCAAGATCGAATTTGAAATGAGAAGATTCGCAGACAACTACTATTTGTAGACTTTCCAATTATGCTGCTGTATATAAAATAAAACAGGGAGAAAAAGCAGCCCTTGTTGAGTTTCTTGCCGATTTTTCTCAGTAGATGCCGTAGATTTGCGAACCGACAGCATAGTTTTCGACATTCACAAGTGGTTGTAACAGTCTAGACTGAATAAATTATATTGAATTTGAATTTGACAAACTAAAGTGATTGAAATAGGCCGGAAAATTGCAAACCAGAAGTGGCAGGGCACATAGC